TTCATAAGTTTTCTTTATGTCCCCTGTCTAATTTTTGGTTCTTGAATATTTTATTCATGTCTATTGCTATTCATCTATGCTGATTATGTCATGGTTGCTGGATATCACAATCGTTCAATAATTTGGCAGGTGATTACTAATCTTCAATAGATATATGTATTCCACGAATGGTTCTACCCTTTCTTTTCTACCCAAAATACTCTGAAAGTTAATTTCAAAAATTTCATCAAAACAATAAGGTGGAATATTGAAGCCACTATATATGTATCCATTTAAAGTGTCCTTCATTTAGTACTAACATCTTGTGAAGTTTTAATAAAAAATTGTAGATTTCTTTATTTGGACTTTAGAATATTTAATATATTATTTCTCATTCTATCCTTAGACGAGGGTCTATCGGAAACAACCTCTCTACCTATTGAAGGTAGGGGTAAGGTTTGCGTATACACTACCCTTCCAAACCCCACTTGTGGAAATACACTAGGTTTATTGTTGTTGTTGTTGTTGTTGTGTATTGCTATTATTGAATCCGACGTAAAGTAAATTCTGGATTACTCATCAAAAGCGTGGAGTATTTCTAGTTACACTGGTTGTAGTATGAGTAATTTGCAATTATAGATGCTTTCAACTTCGAAAAAATGTATTGTTTTACTAAGTATTTATATTATTCTATTTTTTGAGAAAAGAATTTTTTTAGAAAATAAGTATTTCATTCCCTTACACTCTGTTAATTCCTGAGAAAGTGTGAAAGAGAAAAACTGTCCAACCATAGCTGAATCGAATCACGTTGGTGCTCCTATGCGATTTTTTAAGAAGGGCATATACTCTGTCTAGACATTAATACTTCCGTGATTCCCACAATAAACAAGAGTCTCAAAGTAAAAATTTTGTTTGCCTAATATGCATAGCTCAAAGTGGAACTTTTGTTTGCCTAATTTTGTCCACTAATTCTAATTATTTGGCTTTTCAGTTCAACTCAAAGCCTTATGTTTCTAAGTAATTTTCTAATCAATTTTTTTCCGATACAACAGATAATAAAAAATAGAGAGAAAGACAATCATATAGTTTTACTTTTATATTTTATTATAGGCAAGTACATGATGGATAAGAGCTGGATATTCATTAAGAATAGGGCGTTACCTCAATACTTGAATGGTGTAGAACAATTTCTAAACTTCGCATTTTCTAATTCTAATGTTGGTGTAAGAATCCAATGTTCGTGTATTAGGTGTAACAATATTTTTTGGAAAACGCGAGAAGAAGTAAAGACAGATTTACTTAGACGGGGAATAGATTCAACATATGATAGGTGGATTTATCATGGTGAGTCGGATTCATCTTCAGATGATGGAACAAATGTTGGTACAGATTCAGATATAGGAAATGATGATGCTTCCACTTTTGAAATGTTGCATGACTTGTATCGTGGTATTCCCTCTCATAGTCATGAGTTTGATAAGAACAGTGAGTCTAGTTCTGAAGAGTCTAATACAGAAGATAAAATTTTCTATAGATTATTAAAAGATGCAGAGCAAAAATTATATCCTGATTGTGAAAAATTCTCCAAACTCTCGTTTGTAATGCGTTTTTTTCAAATGAAGTGTCTACATGGCTGGAGTAATACCTCATTTGACTCTTTATTGAAACTATTGAGTGATGTTTTACCCAAAGGAAATATGCTCCCGAATTCTATCTATGAAGTTCAAAAGATAATTAAAGGTTTGGGTTTAGATTATGTGAAGATAGATGCATGTGTTAATAATTGCATTTTATATAGAAAGGAATATGCGGATCTTGAGCAATGCCCTAAATGTGGTGAGAAAAGATGGATGGTAAGAAAAGGAGAACATACTGATGAAGAGGTTGCTTCAGAAAATTCGAATAAGAGAAATAAAGGAATTTCTAGAAAGATTCTTAGATATTTTCCTATCATACCAAGATTACAACGATTGTTTATGATAAAACGTACCGCTGAAGATATGAGATGGCATAAAAATAAGAAAGTCGATGATGGAATTTTACGACATCCAGCTGACTCCTTGGCGTGGAAAAATTTTGATGAAAAATATCCAAGTTTTGCTTCAGATCCACGTAATGTAAGGCTTGGGCTTGCTTCAGATGGCTTTAATCCTTTTGGTTCAATGAGTAATGCTTATAGTATGTGGCCGGTAGTGTTGATCCCATATAATCTCCCCCCATGGCTATGCATGAAACAATCAAATCTTTTGTTGTCTTTGCTTATTCCTGACCAAAAGGACCTGGTATGGATATTGATGTGTATCTTCAACCTTTGGTAGATGATTTGAAAACCTTGTGGGAGAGTGGAATTGAGACTTATGATGCTTTTATGAAACAAATTTTTTTCTTACGTGCGTCTTTATTGTGGACAATTAATGACTTTCCAGCTTATGGTATTTTATCCGGTTGGAGCACTAAAGGTAAATTAGCTTGTCTGATTTGTTATATACATACTTGTTCTATTTACTTGAAATAAGGTCGCAAGCAATGCTATATGGGTCATCGTAGGTTCTTGGAAATAAATCATCCCTATCGTCGAAATAAAAGTTCTTTTGATAACACAAAGGAAGAAAGACTTGCACCACAAGCTTTGAGTGGAGATGATGTGCTTGCACAACTTAATACATCCTCACAAATGTTAGTTGACGGCATCACAAGAAAAAGAAAACGAGATACAATAAGATATGACAATTGGAAGAAAAAAAGTATATTCTTTGAACCCATATTGGAGGACTTTATTGTTAAGACATAATTTGGATGTGATGCATATAGAAAAAAATATCAGTGAAAGTGTGATAGGAACGTTATTAGATATTGAAGGAAAAACAAAGGACACATTAAAATCTCGGTTGGACTTACAAGAGATGAAAATAAAAAAAACCCTTCATCCAATAAAAAGTGGTAATAAGTACATACTTCCTCCAGCAAGCTATACAATGTCTAAAACTGAGAAGATTCAATTTTGTCAGCTCATTAAAGAAGTCAAGTTTCCCGATGCTTATGCTTCTAACATTAGTCGTTGTGTCAATGTTAAGGAAGCAAGAATTTTCGGACTTAAAAGTCATGACCACCATGTTTTTTTTCAACGCATTTTTCCACTTATCATCAAAGGGATTTTGCCAAAGGATGCATGTGATCTATTAGTTGAACTGTCATTATTCTTTAGCGATTTGTGCGATAAAAAGAGTTGTATGTGGAGAAGTTATATCAACTAGATAAAAGTATACGGGTGACAATTTGTAAATTAGAACGTGTGTTTTTGCCAACGTTCTTTGATGTTATGGTTCATTTGGCAATTCATTTGGCAATGGAGGCTAAGTTGGGTGGTCCCGTTCAATTTCGATGGATGTATTACATTGAAAGGTTGGATTCGTATTCCTCTAAACTATTCCTTTAGTTTCTCTTCTAGTTAAAATTTGTTGCAGAACTGATCTATTTTTACGTCATAGATTTTTGCGCACCTTGAAAGGTTATGTACGAAATAAAGCTCGCGCGGAAGGATCAATTGCCGAGGGATATCTTGTTGAGGAGTGCATGATATTCTGTTCCAAATATTTGACTGATATGGAGACAAAGCAAAATCGTCCGGATAGAAATTTTGATTCTTCTAATATCGAACCAAATGGTTTATCTGTATTTAATTGTCGTGGTAAGCCTTTAGTAGGGGGTGATTGGATAAACTTGAGCACTCATGAAATCAATCAAGCTCATTTTTATATCCTCCAAAATTGTGATGAAGTCAGACCTTGGATTGAGTAAGATACCTTTCAGTTAGTTTACATCCTTTTATTTTTATGGAAATCTCAACAACTATGTTTTAATATTATTTATTTTGATTTTATTAAATGCTCACATTCCATAGGCAACACTTAGAAATATTAAGGAATGAGAATACTAGAAATGTTTTCAAGAGGCACAAGGAGGAATTTCCTTTGTGGTTTGAGAAAAAGGTAAATTATATCATTTAATGCTTGTTTATTTTTATTTAGGATAATTTGTAAATTATATTTTTTAAATAGTATTAATGTTTGTGAGTTTGTAATTGAAATATTATAGGTGGTACAGTTAAAAGAAAATGGTGATGGCCGAATTACCAGTGGATTACTAGCTTTGGCAAGACGTCCAGATCCTCGTGCTTATTGCCATAATGGATATATCATGAATGAGTTTAGGTTTCGAACAATGAAATCTGAGCTAGGTTTGAAAACTCAAAATAGTGGTGTAGTTGTGAAAAGTGATGAACATACAGGAAATGTTGATTATTATGGAAAGATAAGAAAGATTTTAGAGATCCAATATTTGGATAATAATTCAGTCATATTATTCCAATGTGACTGGTTTGAAGTTCCTACTCAAGGTCGTAGTCAAAGTAGAGGTTATAAAAGGGATGAATATGGATTCATATGTGTAAATGTGACACGAGTCCATTATACAAATGATCCATTCATTTTAGGCTCACAAGCACAATCTGTGTATTATGTTAAACACGATCAAAATGAGAATTGGCATGCTGTGGTAAGAGTAAGACCACGGAATTTGTTTGATTTACCCGAACAAGAAGATAAAACGGAGCCGTATCAACTGATTGACTTGGTTGAAAGAGGAGAAGTAGATCTTTAAATAGAGCCCGACAATGATGTTATTAAAATACAAAGAGAAGACATTGATGGAGTGAGTGTAGATGCCCCTTCTCTAAGTAATGAGGAAGAAGTAGACTTAGAAGCTTTTGATGAATCTAATCATGAAAATGGATATGACTTCAATGCAGATGAAGAATATCTTTCTGATGAGTTTGATGAAATTGAGGATGATGACTGGTTGTAATTTTCAACTAGTCTTTAAGATAATTTTGCCTATTTCAATCGCTTTCTTCACAGAAATATTTCCATCACCTTGCCGAAATGGTTAATTTTTTTTCTATTTCTGTCATTTCTTTATAATTTTTGCTTTCAATTGATTTGTTTCTCTCGGTTTCTGAAAATATATTGTCTCTTTCTTAGTATTTTACTTCTGTCACTTGTACATTCGACTAGTCCAATAATACAATTTTTTTAAATATGTTGCAGCATATCATGATGACGGATGTGCATGTTTCTAACAATGATGAAACTGTTGATGTAATCTCAAACCCGCCACCGGGTAAGTTAATTTATTTGTTAAAATTCTGCCCTATAAAAGCTCTAGCTTGTATATGTTATGTTTACTATACATCTAAATATTTCCTTATATAGCTGAAGGCAAAAAGAGAAAAGGAAGAGGGAAGACAACAGGACTTTCAATCCAAAAGAAACGCAAAGATAGTGACAATGGAAAGCTAAAGGTGATTATTCCACCAGATCGAACTGTAGCAGTAGGTCCTGGAGCTAATGATTTCATTACTGAGCTCTCTGTTAAAGTTATGCATAATGCTAGGCATGATGTCAAGAATTGGAAGGAAGTTCCTGATATAGCAAAAGATAGGATTGTTGCTCATATGCTGGTAATTCACTCTGTTCCCTTAGAATTTTCTTGTCGGTTTAGTAAACATAAGAAAACTCTCAGTGTAAGTATACAAATATAGAGAAGATGACTTTGAAACAGTCCTCGATTCATTGGCAGACAATCACAACTCTATTTTAAGTAAGCTCACTTAAGTTTATTTTGAATTCAGGACACCTTCCAACTTCCAGACACACAACACAATCGAGATACTATCCTTAAAACAGCTAATAATTTATATAGATATCGTCGTAGTAGGCTCCATGATCATTTCAAAAAATATGTTACAAGTTGTTCAAGACTTATGGATGACATCACGGTAAGAAAACTCTGTCTAACTCTTGTAAAAGTAAATTCCTTGATTGATATTGTTCGCTGTCATATTTGAATTCTTCTCAATTCAGAAAGAAAAGTTGCTTGATCTTGGACCTTTGAAAGGTGATGTGCTTGTTCTTAGGCTTTATAGTTTTCTGTTGCAATTCTTTTGGTTCTCAGTCATATCATATCAAAATGAAAAGTTGTTTGATCTTGGGCTTTTAAAAGATTCTAGACTAAAGTTATATACAGAGAATATCTTATAATTTGGAGAAACAAAGTAAAAGAAAATAAAGAAGCCAGATCTAATGTGATTTTGTGGCGATATGCAAAATCTATAGTACATAGTTAGCGCTCGTCTTCTATATTCTGGTCTCACGATGAAGCTTCTCAGTTTTCTGATTCTAGCAAAGTAGTGTACATCAAGAAGGTCTAATACCACCACTGTTAACTAGTCTACTAGCTTATGGGTAGTCAAAACATGCAGACAAGCTTAACTAATGACGAAGTATATTACTAGAAACTGAACATATGTCTGAAGATAGCATTCCCACTCCCACCCATGGCCATGAAGTCAAGGAGCATCTATGGATACTAATAGTTTCTCTACTGGTGAGCACAATTGTATAATATCTGTCAAGAAAGGTTGCTATAAAGGATAGCATCCTCAGTCAAAATTTGTTTATTTAAGAGTAAATACCGGATTACAGTGTGGGCTTGAAGAACATTTTCCTCTCTTCTAAATCGGTTATATGCTTGTAAAAATGAATCAACTACTACTACTATGTGGTTAACCTAACAAGATTCTCTTAAATAACCATCAGCCAGACAATGGATTCACTCATTCTTGTTCATTTCTCTGTCTTATTCTCTCTTTTGATCCATACTTGTGTACTTTATAGTTTTTATTTATAAAAGATATAATTATAATTTATATTCTTTTGTAGGATGAGCATGAGTAAACCAATATAGATGGCGATATGGTTCATGGATGTACAAGCTACTAGAAGAAAATTTACTTATGGAGTTGTTATTTGATTAGAAATTATGACTCTGGAGATGTTCTTGTTCTTTTTTCAAGTAAAAACATATATTTTAGTGGTAGGTTTTGAAAGTATGTAAATACATTGTGCTTCAGGTGTATTGACTTTTCCAAATATATATCATATATTAATTTTTATATATACATTTGTGATGTTTTAAAAGATTTAAAATGTGAATTGTTTATGTAGCAACTACATATTTGTTGTTGTTAGTTGTACAACAAAAAATGTAATATTGTTGGCAAAAAGTGATTTTATGGCCACAACAATACTTGTTGCTAAAAGCCTTTATAACAGATTATTAACTACCCTCCCGCCAATTTTTTTGCCACAAGTAATATTGTTGCGAAAAAATAATATTTTATCGCAACAATAATTGTTGTTGCTAAATATTTTCATAAGCCACAATTGTGTGACCAAAAAATAATTTATTGCAACAACTTTCTTTGTTGCGTTACGGCAACTTTTCGCAACAATATCTTTTGTTGTTGCAAAAACTTTTTCCATCAGCATTTATTGCAACGACATGCAACAACTTTTCTGTTTTTGCCAAAAGTACTTTTTGCAACAATATTCAATATATGGCAACAAAAAATTTTGTGGCAAATTTCATACTTTCTTGTAGTGCATCCTCCTCTGTATAGCCAGCTTCCTCAAAGTATTGTTTGGCTTTAAGTATCTTCTGCACTATCCAAGAGGCTTATTTTGGTACAGTGTCCCACAATGTATTCTGCTTCTTATAATACACATGTATCCACTGCACCCACAATCTATCCTTCTTCTTGCACAGGTTCCAAAGGAGTTTACATATGGCTGCCTTATTCCATTCCTCTATAGCTAGCAGATTAAGTGTCACGATCCGGATTTTCCACCCTCGGGGGTCGTGATGGCGCCTACTAATGAGAGCTAGGCAAGCCAACCCTTAACTACCTTTTTCATTAATAATTTGTTTTTCAATTACTAGCAATAACATGAAAAACAGCGGAATTAAATAAATAAGCAGAAGTCAACAAATTTTATAACTCAAGACTACGTCTATTATAACTTTCAAAACCTCAATATCCAAAACCTGGTGTCACAGTGTCACAGACTCTCTAAGAGTGACTACAAACAAGGCTTGAAGAAAATACAATAAACTGTTTCTGAACGAAAGAAAATGAAACAGGGAATAGAGATAGAGGGATACGCCAGGGCTCGCGAACGCCTGCAGGTCTACCTTGGGTCTCCGGGTGGACAGAAGGAAGCCCTCCAACTACTGTCCGTAAGCTGCTTCGGGATCTGCACACAGTGCAGAGTGTAGTATCAGTACAACCGACCTCATGTACTGGTAAGTGTCTATCCTAACCTCGGCGAAGCAGTGACGAGGCTAGAACTAGACTACCAAATAAACTTGTGCAATTTAAATATATACAGCGGAAAGTAAAATGCATAAATAACTAGTAAATATGGGAAGAGGGAAAACATGTTGTGGGGGAAATAACGGTTCCGAATAGAAAGCATCAATTGAGGAAAGTAATAACATAACTAGAATATCATCAAGAATCAGAAATCAACAATTTGCACGGCATCACCCTTCGTGTTTTTACTCTCGTACTCACCAAATCAATCATATAATAACAATGTGCACGGCATCACCCTTCGTGCTTTACACTCTTTCCTCACAATAGCAAACAATGCACGACATCACCCTTCGTATTTTTACTCTCATTCCTTACCATATACAATGATATCCGGTACGGAATGGTACATCGTACGGCAGGGTATCACCCTTTGTGCTTTACACTCTTTCCTCACCATAGCAAACAATGCACGGCATCACCCTTCGTGATTTAACACTCTTCCTCACCCAAACAACAATCACAAACAAAGGGCAAGGGAGTAAACAAATAAAAATAGAAATCCCCGCAAGGGAACACAATTAAACAGTTAAATCCCTGCAAGGGAACAATATCAATAATCTCAGCATCCCGGCAAGGGAGATAATCAACAAAGCAACAAACATCCCGGCAAGGGAGTAATTTAATAACTCTTTCTCTTTCTTTCACTTTTACTTCTTAACTCACTTTACCACTTGAGCTAACGCTCCAAAGGATTTAATCATTTCATATACTTTCACACTTGATAATATAACTCGATCCAATGCTCCTCGAAGTTCAAAGGTCACAATTTCTTTCACAAGCTTTTCACAACATATAGAAATCATCACTAAGGCATGAAAAACACAACAAAATCAGGATATTCACAATGTAAAGACTCACGGTCATGCTAGACACCAACGTATAGATACTCGTCACCACGCCTATACGTCGTACTCAACATTTATCACATAGCAAATAGGACTCAACTCCTAATCCCTCAAGCTAAGGTTAGACCAAACACTTACCTCAAACTTTCACGGCCAAGTCAATCCTCAATTACCTTTTTTACTCTCGAATTCGGCTCCAAATCGATTGTATCTATACATGAATGACTTCATAACATCAACAAATGCTAAACAATTCGAACCCATTGCCTAATTATAGCTTTTCCATCATTCTTTCCAAAAACCAAAAATCGACCCCGGACCCGCTTGGTCAAAACACGAGGTTCGGACCAAAATCAAATCACCCATTCATCCACGAGCCCGAATATATAATTATTTCCAGAATTTGACCCCAAAACGAGGTCTAAATCACAATTAATTAAAAAGCCCTAACTCTACCCAATTCCCTAATTTCTACCCTTAATTACATGTTTTAGGCCTAGAAATTCAATAGATGTTGATTAAAATGGAAGAAAATAAGTTAAAGATTACTAACCCAAGAGTTTATGGTGAAAGGATGCTTCAAAAGTCGCCCCAGAACTTTGGAGAAGAAAGAGTTTGTGAAATTTTGGTGAAATCCCGTAATGGGTTCAGTTTTGGGACTTTAAAATAACTGGGCAAAATCCTTCTTCGCGTTCGCGATAAGCTCAACGTGTTCGCGATGAGTCAGGTCTGAAGACCTTCGCGTTCGGAACACTGGGCTCGCGTTCGCGATGCTTTAACACCTCAAGCCCTCACGTTCGCGGCCCGGTGGTCGCGTTCGCATCGAACAAACTGGTGGCCCCTCCCCTGAACCCTACGCGTTCGCGAGTGGAAGGACGCGTTCGCGAAGGGTCTCCCCCCTGAGCTTCGCGTTCGCGTCTCAATCTCCACGTTCGCGAAGAAGAAACTGGGCACCTGGGATCTTTGCCTTACGCATTCGCGAGTGAGACCACGTGAACGCGAAGAACAAAATCCCTGGGCACAACAGCAGAAAATCTGCAACACTTCTAAAGCCAAAAACCATTTCGAAACACTCCCGAGCCCTCGGGGCTCCTAACCAAACACAGGCACTAACTCAACAACATCATACGAACTTATCTGTGCGATCAAATCGCCTAAATAACCTCAAAATCAATGAATCAAACCTCAAAATCAAGAATTTTTCCTCAAACTTCATCAAGTTTCCAATTTAGAAATTTAAGTCCGAAATACGTCAAACGACGTCCGATTTCAACCAAATTTTACAGGAATAACTTAAAACATATATAAGACCTGTACCGGGTGCCGGAACTAAAATACGGGTCCGAATACCATTGCTTTCTAATCAGATTTCATTTCCAATTTCCTTAAACATTTTTCAGAAAACAATTTTTACTTAAAAATTCATTTCTCGGGCTTGGGACCTCGAAATTCGATTTCGGACATACGCCCACATCCCATATTTTCCTACGGACCCTCCAGGACCGTCAAATCACGTGTCCGAGTCCGTTTGCCCAAAATGTTGACCAAAGTCAAACTTATCATTTTAACATCAAAACTTAGCATTTTTCACAAAATTTCATATTTAAGCATTCCGGCTACGCGCCCGGACTACACACCAAATCGAGGTAACTCTAAATGAGGTTTTCAAGGCCTCAGAAGCACAGAATGGATAAGAAAATAGGTGATGACCCTTTGGGTCGTCACATTCTCCATCTCTAAAACAATCGTTCGTCCTCGAACGGACAGAAGTAGGAAGTACCTGAGTCAGGGAATAAATGAGGATAACGGCTCTACATATCGGACTCGAACTCCCAGGTCGATGCCTCAGGAGGCTGACCTCTCCACTGAACATGAACAGAAGGG